TAAATGTACACAGAGATGGATGAGTATTACGACAGTTAAGGGTTCTTGGAGTTAAAATGTAACTATTCTTGAAATGACATCAACGTACATTTAAAAAATTAATTTGCAACACCAACCAAACTATATTTTTAAATATAACAAAAGAAATATTGATACTCCTAAAGACAGTATTGATACTCTCTGTTCTAGACAGTTTTATTTTACAGAAAATTAAAGTCCCAACGGCTCCAAATCATCCCAATAGCTAAAAACAGTCACAATTTCATTCGAACATAAAAAAAAACACAAGAACACTTGAAGAATGTTACTACACCTATACAAGCTAAAGGATCAAGAGAAAAAAGTCTTTCATTTTTATTTTCCTTTTTCTATTGTACACAGTGTATTCGAGCTCATTGCAAATCTTTGTAATTGTTTCTTGTGAGCTAAATATTTGTAAACACTACATTGTGAGTTATTCTTGTTCACCCGAACATCCTTTGTAGAAGGGGGAAATGTTTTAGTTGAGCATTAGAAAAACTAGAGTTGCAAAGGTTACACCTTATCTTAGAAAATGTAAGAACAATTAGTGAATTTGTTAGAAAATCTTCAATGGGGAGCTAAAATAATGAGTGTAGACTTAGGTTAAAATTCGAATTAGTATAAATCCGTGTGTCATATTTTTTATCTTTATTGCTTGCTCACCTAGAATTTTTAAAGTTCAATTCACCCCTCTGACTTATTTCGGTTGATTCATATAGCCTTAATAATCTCAACAATTTGTATCAAAACTTGACTCATTTGAAGGTCTAACAACCTCTGGAGACATTTCTTGTAGAGCTCTATCAATTTTCAAGTCAATCGAGAAAGATGGCTTCAACCTCTGGTGCCTACTACATTGAAGATTCTCAATCGGTTAATAAGCCACCTTATTTCAATGGAGCAAATTATGCCTATTGGAAGAATAGAATGACACTCTTCATTCAAGTAAATGATCTAGGAGCTTGGAACTTCATTATGAAAGTTACTCTACTCCAACCAATGAGATGGAAGATTGGAGTAAAGTAGAGAAAAAGAAGTTTCAACTCAATGCAAATATAATGCACATTTTAGTTTGTGCATTAGGCCCAAATCAATACGAAAGAATCACCTCTTGTCCAAATATCAAGGAGATTTGGGACAAGCTCCAAGTCACTCATGGAGGAACCGATGAAGTGATGGAAACCAAAATCAATCTTTTCAACCATAGCTATAAAAATTTCAAGAAGTAACCTGATAAAGACATCAAAGCTATGATATATATTTTTCGTTATTTTCAACAGTCTAAAGAGATATGGAGAAATCATCCCTAATTAGAAGATTATTAGGAAGATGATCTACTTTATTCCAAAGTCTTAACAATCAAAGAATACGATTATTATCAAGTTAAGAACCTAAACTTTCTCACTCTTGATAAGTTTATTGGTTCTCCTCTCACTCTTGAGTTAATAGTAAATGAGCTCATGCATGGATGAAGATGAGAGTAAAGGGCTGTTGGATGATGGAAATGATAAAATAGATGACGTTTTGTGAAGAGAAATGGACAAAGAGTAATGGAATATGTGCATGAGATGTGGGATACTGTTTTGTTTTTTATTGTCTAGTTGCTTTTGGGAGTGAATATGTGCATTAGATGTGGGATACTGCATTGTTTTTTATTGTCTAGTTGCTTTTGGGAGAGGTAGCTGACTCGTGTTTGCTTTTATTTGGCTTTCGGAGTTTAGTCATCAGGGAACCTATTCTTGGGGTTGTGGTGGGGTTTGTTTTGTTGGCAGAAGGAATGTCCTTCCACATCTAAAATGTTCAATTTTCAATAAAGGACGCCCTACGTTTTGCTCCTACTTTTACACTTGCTTTCTTCTTGTTTTCCATTATTATAATTTCCTTTTAAAAAATTGTGGCCAAACTATTGGAATTGCAGCTATTTCGTCAATTTTCATTTTTTGTCATCAAATTTTAAAAGTTAACATTTTGGTTATTTATGTTATCTATTTATAACATTTTGGTTACTTGCTTTTTATAATATTTTAGTGTCTGAAACGTTAAATGTCGTTATTTGTGGACATGTCATACTAGTAAAAGAAGTTAAAACATGTTGACATGTCATACATTTTGGTTATTTGTTGGCATGTCATCAATATAAAATCATATAATTTTGATATCAAACACTTTAAGGCAAATGATTAATGATATAAAATAAGAAAATGGTGACAAGCATATAATCTTATGCTTTATTTTTTTTTGATTATATCCTGATTCTGTTCTTGTCTAAAATGTAAGCAAATTGTGTTTACTACTTTGATTGCTTTAGAATTCCAAATACCCTTTTCAGGGGCTAATTATTTCCTCCTGGCTTTTGAAAATACATTTCGGCTTCTACACAACTTTATCTTGAATAAATGTACACAGAGATGGATGAGTATTACGACGGTTAAGGGCTCTTGGAGTTAAAATGTAACTATTCTTGAAATGACATCAACGTACATTTAAAAAAAATTCAGCACCAACCAAACAATCTCGGTAGTAAATAATAATTGTTATTTTTTGAGGTTTTATGTTTGAGCACCATAAATGTCAGGAGTCTGAACGTTCAATATCAAATGATTGTATAAATACCTAAAATTAATTTTAAAGCGCATAAATGCCTATAAATTAATTTTAAATAGCATGAATTAGTATGTTGTACGTGAAAAGTTGAAATTACTCCTTTGCATGTTTAATCGTTCTTATAAAAATTTTGCATGTTCCTCGATTGTTCACAATTAGTAATAATATGTTCTTCCTTTGCATTCCTTTGATGTAAGAATGAAGGAATGAAATATTTTATTTGATTGAATTTTAAAGTAACCCTTAAATAAGAATTTGCACCATGTTTTTTTTAATGATTAATATTCGTTTTGGATCATTTTAATTAGATATTAGGTGTTGAAATATCAATATAAAATCACATAATTTTGATATAAAACACTTTAAGGCAAATGATTAATGGTGCACTTTAAAATATCAATACCGATTTATATGATGTTGATACCAAGACTCTCAGTCTCGATATCAACTCAATATCGATGATAAATCATCATTGACATACTATTGGAATTATACCAAGGATAAAACATTGATTGATGATATACAATATAATTAGATTATATTGTTACTATGCCCTTAAATAGATTGAATTACGTGGCTTCTCTAAACATGTTGCACTAAATTTTATATCGAATTGATTATAATAATTAATACTTATTGATAAACTTTTAATTGTACTAATTTTTTATAAAAAAGGTTTAGCAGAACCTTATAAGAAAAATAGTATTTTTAAAGGAAATATATTTTAAATTTTTAGTATATGATAAAGAAATAATTACTAATTTAAATAAAAAGGTAAAGAAATATAATAACAATAACACAGAGAATTACTAACCACCGCACGTACAACTATAGTTAAATAATAATATATAAATTGACCATAATCTTTTAACATCAATCACAAATCCATCCAATAATAAATCAAAATCAAATGTTAAATTTGTAGTCCAAGAAGGTAAAAGCAATCCTAAAATATAAAATTCACTCTTCTTATTGTACGACTGCAACGACTCTTCTTGACCTTTCTCTCCATTGTCCCGTACACCAAATCCCACCCCCGATTCTCAACGCTTCCATTGCACAGTGCAACCGGAACATCAAACCCCCCAAGAAATATACTGAATTGCAATATATATAATAAAATAAATGTTAAATTTTTTATAGAACAAGCCATCAAACCCCCCAAGAAATATACTGAATTGCAAAAAAAAAAAAAAAAAGGGTGTGGAAACCAGATAAAAGAAAAGCAGAAAGTGAAGCAAAAATTAGACCCTTTATTTTGGTTTGGCTTAATATAAAAAAATTTAATCTATATTTTTTTTATTTTGGTGTTTAAATTTTTCGGTAATTAAAGTATCTAACATAATAATCGTTATCATTTTAAATACTTATACCATAACGGTTGTTAAATTTTTTTTTAATTGATACGTTTCGCGTTAAGATAATTTGACACAAATACGATCTTATAATACGTGTTAGAATTTGTTATCAAAATTTTATATTGATCCGTATGAAAAGTTTATAATGAGAACTATTTGATAAAAAATAAATTTTTTATTTCCAATTATAAATTTAATATTTTTATTATATTTTAAAAAATAATAAATAACTTTATTTGTTAAATTTTAGTCGTAACATAAGTAAACTTTATATTATTTTAATTTTAAATATATTATTTCCTTTATTTTAGTTGTTGTCTAATATTTTTATTATAAATCTAATATTTTTATAACAAGTAAGACAAGTAAAATTTATTTTTTTATTGTTTTCAATCTTACAATTAGATTATTACTTTTATATTTCTTTTAAACTTTATATTATTTTTATTATAAATCTAATATTTTTAATAAATTATCAATTTTATTTAAATTAATTTATTATTGAAAATAATTTTTATTGTTTAATAACTTTTATCAATTTCAATTTGTTCGGGTTGTTTCAGGTCGGGTTAAATTAGGTTTGAATTAATTTCAGTTCGGTTTGCTTTCGGTTCGCGTTAATTTCGGTTCGAGTTGCTTTTGGTTCGGGTTAATTTCGGTTATAGTTGATTTCGCTAAATTTTGGGTCGGGTATCAGATCGAATTTAATTATCATGTTCGAGTTAATATCAAGTATTGGGTCAGGTAAATCGGTTCAGATAATCGGGTTCAAGTCAAGTTTGTCAGGTCTATTTAAAATAATAAAGTTTGTAACGATAAACATTTATATTAATCTAAAAATATTAGTCGCTTAAATAGAAAAACGAATATAGTTTGTGTACTTGTTTTGTATTAAGCCTTTTGGTTTTGGGTTCTTAAGAAGTGGCAAAGGCATGCCTTTTTGGTGGTCGTGCAGCGTGTTTTTTACCAATAATATTGGTACTATTTTTAACGAGAACAATTGTATGTTGCCGGTTGCTGAAGCTATATGGTAACGATTCCAAGTTCAGGAACGAAGTGTGTTTCTGAGGAGATTCAAAGCAACGTTGTTGCTTTTGATTACTATGTCATCGATGAAAACAACCCCGATCATATACCCACCGTCTCTGCTCGGGTATTTCTTTTACCTTTTCATTAGCAGCAAACAATTTATCAAATTCTTCGTCTGGGTTTATCAGATTTCTGCCTTTTTCTTTTGTCCAACCACCTCAATACAAATTTATCTCTGATTTTGATACTTTGTTTTAATGGGATAATCTTTTATTTGAGATTTTAGTTGTTGAAGGCTTTGCTGGTTTGGGTGAACAGTGATTATGTTGCTAGGCTTTGCTGATTTTTATCCTTTTGTAAGTGTCAAGGATGTTTAGAACATGTATTTACAGTGCAAGTCATATCCAAGAGTAAACCTTTGCTTAGTCTTCCTATTTAGTATGAATGAGAAATTTTCTTTTTTGTTAAGAATCAGAATCTAGTCCCTGATAATTAAGCACCCGGCTACCAATTTCCTTCTGTCTTTTGAAGTTCCATATGAATATCTGCAGAATAAGTTCTTTTCTTCAGTTTAACTGAGAGTGAGTATTTGATTGAGTCAAGTTGAGTTTTGCTCACCCCTATTTCTTGATCTGCCAAAGAAATATCCTTTCTTTTTGATGGAAAAGTCTTGAAGGTGGAAAATTGGTATTCTTGGTACCCTATGGTTGAAGAATCCATTCTAGTTTGAGGAATTGCAAAGTACATCTAATCGGTATCAGATTGAGGTTACTTGCGCATTTGATACTTCTTTGTGTTCGACAAGTATCTGTAGCTCAGTATTAACCAAACTAGAGGTCAACTGCATGGAATTTTATTCCTACTATCCTCATGGCATGTTTGAAATTGTTGAGTTTGAAACGAACCACAAGTGAGAAAATTATATATCTTTCAAAAAGTTCGAACATGAGTACTTAAAAGAACAATGAAGAGTTAAAGCTGCATAGCTTGAGATCATTAATTGTATATATTTGGGAATTTATCTGGAAAACTTAGATTTAAAACAGTTACACATGTACTGAATATGCGATTTATGCTCAAATTTACTAGACCGGTATCTCATTCATTGGCGACACTCATGGCAAAGGGCACAGATTTCTTTTCACACAAATTCCCCTCTGCTTCCGAGGTTAGCCCTTCAAAATGATTGTATATTTTTATCATTCATTTATTTATTTATTACATCATATTGACATTTCATTAATGTTTATATTGCAGATTCTTGAAGAGCTTAAAGAGCTATGGGGCATGGCTTTGCCTATAACAGCCATGAACTGGCTAGTCTTTGTTAGAGCAGTGCTATCGGTTCTGTTCTTAGGTAGACTTGGTAGTCTAGAACTAGCCGGAGGAGCTCTCTCCATAGGCTTCACCAACATCACTGGCTACTCTGTGCTTGTTGGTCTTGCCTCAGGGCTCGAGCCAGTGTGTAGCCAAGCCTACGGGAGCAAGAACTGGGAGTTACTATCTCTCTCTCTCCAACGCATGATCATCATACTGTTTCTTGCAATCATACCAATCAGCCTGTTATGGGTGAATCTTGACAGCATTATGGTTTTCATGGGACAAGATAAAGATATCACATCAATGGCAGCAACTTATTGTATGTACTCTTTGCCGGATCTTTTAACAAATACTTTGTTACAGCCGTTGAGGGTATTTTTAAGGTCACAACGGGTGACAAAGCCTATGATGTGGTGCTCCTTAATAGCTGTGATATTTCACCTGCCCCTTAACTATGTGTTGGTGATGGTTATGGGGCTGGGGGTACCAGGTGTGGCAATGGCATCCGTGGTTACCAACATGAACATGTTGGTGTTGATGCTGGGGTACGTGTGGATTAGTGGGAGGTGTGAGATGAGATGGACGACTGGAATTGGAGGGGTGTGTGGTGGGGTTGTCCCACTTTTGAGATTGGCAGTGCCTAGTTGTCTTGGGATTTGTTTGGAATGGTGGTGGTATGAGATAGTGACGTTGATGGCTGGTTATCTGTGGAATCCAACACTCGCTGTGGCTGCCACTGGGATCCTGATTCAGACCACCAGCATGATGTACACTTTCCCCATGGCTCTTGCTGGATGTGTCTCCGCCCGTGTAAGTTCCACTTCCACTATACCAGTACTCTATTGTATTACTCATATTTTAAAAGAGGAATAGAATTGTTGCAGGTAGGGAATGAACTTGGAGCTGGTAAGCCATACAAAGCTAAGCTAGCGGCCATGGTGGCATTGGGATGTGCATTTGTGATTGGCATAATCAATGTGGCTTGGACGGTGATACTTAGGGAAAAATGGGCCGGGTTGTTCACCAGGGATGATCTTGTCAAACCATTAGTTACAACTGTCATGCCAATCATAGGGCTGTGTGAGCTAGGTAACTGCCCCCAAACAACTGGCTGCGGTATCCTACGTGGCATGGCAAGGCCGTCGGTTGGGGCCCGCATAAATCTGCGCTCATTTTATTTCGTGGGCACTCCGGTGGCTGTATGCCTAGCCTTTCTGTTAAATGTGGGTTTCCCCGGGCTCTGGTTTGGACTACTATCTGCCCAAATGGCTTGTGTTGTGTCTATTATGTATGTCGTGCTGTGTACAACAGATTGGGAAGCTGAGGCATTGAAAGCAAAGAAGCTAACCGGCATGGAAATGAGCTCATGCATGGATGAAGATGAGAGTAAAGGGCTGTTGGGTGATGGAAATGATAAAATAGATGACGTTTTGTGAAGAGAAATGGACAGAGAGTTATGGAATACGCGCATAAGATGCGGGATACTGTTTTGTTTTTTATTGTCTAGTTGCTTTTGGGAGAGGTAGCTGACTCATGTTTGTTTTTTCTTTGTGTTTGCTTTTATTTGGCTCTCGGAGTTTAGTCATCAGGGAACCTATTATAGGGTAGGATGGTAAACGGGTCGGCGGGTGAGGATATCCCTTCCTATTCTCATACCCACTAATATTTTCAAATCTACCACCCGACTATCACCCATGATGGGTATTATTTTTCAAATCTACACCGCGTGCATTCTCAAATTCATCCCCACACCCACTACCCAACTAGAGACGTACCCGACTAGACTCGTTTGACAACAACCTTAAGTTATACATAAACAATAAACATAAAACAAACACGTCCATTAAGAAACATAATAAAATAAACTAAAGATTATATGAGTTAAGTGTTAACATAAATTTTAAAGTACATAAAATATTAAAATAAAATATATAATTAAAGCCTAAAAACTTAAATGACAAACACATAATAACATATAAATGATAAACTTTAAAATTATACCTAAATTTATAATAGTCTAAAATTTAATGAGTATTTAGTGGGGCAGGCAGATGCGAGGCGGTAAGGTTTCAAACCTATTACGTCACTACCGCGATGGGTACCACTTTATAAATTTATACCCGCTCACTATCTACTAAAATTATATTAATTTTTACTCCAATTAAAATGAATACGGTGTAAAATTACGAAATTGTACATTTTGTTGGCAGAAGGAATGTCCCTCACCATCTAAAATGTTCAATTTTCTATCAAGGGCGCTCCTTTTAAAAAAACCGTGGCCAAACTATTGGAATAGTAGCTATTTTGTCAATTTTCATTTTAAAGGTTTAGTACTTCTCTTTTCAAAAATTAAAAAAAATCTAGGTTTAGTACTAGTATGACCTTATAAGAGAAATAGTACTTTTAAAGGTTGGATTCCCTTTCACTTATGAGTATTTAACCAACCAATAATCATTTAAAATATTAATTTGAAATTATTTCATCCAAGGACCTAAGGAAATATATTTTAATACATGGTAAAGAAATTACTACTAATTTAAATAAAAAGGTAAAGGAATATAATAGCAATAACAAATAGAATTACATAAATAATTAACCACCATCTTCAACATATACACATACTACAGAACAATATTATAGTTAAATAATAATATATAAATTGACATCAATTGATTAAATTAAACGAGTTCATGTTTTTTACTTTTCAAGTTCCAAAAAAATATAGCATGATCCATGAGGGAGCCTAACTGAAATGTAATTTGAAGGTCAAATTTCCTTTTATTTATGGGTATTTTAATTGTTTCAATATATTGTGTTAATTATTGTTTAAATGTATTGTATTATATTAATATTTAAAATTATTATTTAAAAATATCAAAATAAATTTTAGTTCAAGTTAATTAATATTACATATTAATTTAATGCATCATATTATCTTCTTAACAATAGTTAATGGTAGCTAACGATATGATATCTATTTTATAACAAAATTAAAAGTTTAATATTCGATTTATAACTTTTAAAAGTTCAATGTCTTAAGAAATTATTTTAATATAATTTAATGATCGTTTGTATAATTTACACTTTTGTTTTTATGAATATTAGACTTCTTAATTTAAGGCTCATTCTATCAGAATGTCGATCCTCTTTTAATGAAAGTCAACCTATTTTTTTATTAAGCTAAAGTGATTATAAAATAGTATACAATGAACTTTTAAATCAACCTATTTATTTAAAGAGACATTCATAAGATCTTGTTGATACTGTCACGACTTGTGAATTTAGGCTTGAGACATTCTGTTTGATTTTTTTTTAATTTAAGAAGGTAGTTGTTTAAATTAAAGAGATAACATTGATAATGTTTGATTTAAATTTAAATTTATTAAGATAAGATAAGATAATGAATTTGTTAGACGAGATTCAATCTCACCCATAGATGTAGTTAACATAAACTATTAGATGTATGAGACTTCAATTATAAATAGAGAAGCTTCTCACATCAGTTATAATCGTTTGATTTATTGTATATTAGTAATATGAACAGAGTTTTACTGGGGAAATGGTCTTGGAGGTTTGCTAATGAAAGGAATGCTGTTTGGAGGAGGTTGATATGTTCAAAATATAATCTGGATCCCTACTCTTTACTGTTCAATAGCAAGTTACCATCTCAATCCTCTTGGATTTGGAGTTCAGTGGTTAATTCTCATTTTAAAGAAGACTCATTTGGCTCAAAATTTCGAAGTATGTGCAGAATTCAAGTTGGTTGTGGTTAGTTTATATGTTTTTGGCAGGATAAATGGGCAATGGACTGCCCTCTTAAGGTCTCTTTCCCAAGGCTATTTGCTATCTCTTCAAATCAGAGTGGTAAATTGATTGATTTCGGCGAGTTTAGTTCTCTAGGCTGGATTTGGAATATTTGATTGAGGAGGAATTTGGCTGATTGGGAATTTGAACAGTGGACTAATATGATGACAATCATTTCTAATTTTTGCTTGTCTAAGATGCCAGCGATGCTCTGATCTTGAAAGGGAAAGGGGATGGTGTTTATTCTGTTAATTCATGTGTGAAGATTTGTTCCTCGGTTTCCCAGGTGAACTCTTTTTGGAAGAAATTTTTGTGGAAAGGATTGGTGCCACCAAGGATTGAGACTTTTATATGACAGGTGGTCCTTCAAAAACTACCAGTGAGGACTGAACTGGCTAAAAGAGGGGTTTCGGATATTGTAGATCTTTCATGTCCTTTATGTAATTTGGTGGATGAATCCTCTTCTTACTTATTTCTCTCTTGTTTAGTCGTGTGGTCTTTGTGGAATAAATTTTTGCAGTATTGGAGTATCAGTTCGGTATTTCATGGAAATGCGCAAAACTTTCTTCTAGCTTGGGAAGATCTAAATTCCGGTTCTACTATTTGGAACTTTATTCCGGCTGTTGTTATGTGGACTGTTTGGAAAGCTAGAAATGACATCGTCTTCGATAGAGAGAAGTTGGATCAAGCTAATTTATTTTTCTTAGCTAGAGTAAGGCTTGCATCTTGGTTCCTAGCTAAGTTTGCAGATTCGGTCATTTCTTTGGATTCCCTTATCAGTGACCCTTCCCTTGGGGATTCATGTTTCCCTCCAAACAAATCAATTGTCTCTACCATCCCGTGGTCCCTCCCTCTAAGGGCTTTGTTAAATTGAATGTGGATGCAGCTACTAGTTCTGACTGGAAGAGCAGTGGAATTGCAGGCATCCTAAGGGATGAAGAAGGTCTACTTTTAGGTTCTTTTAAGACGGCTTCTGGTCCAGGTCCACCTATTCTGATGGAATTAGAGGCTGTTAAGGAGGGTTTAAATTTCTTTCACTCAGTGAGAGGAAGTATTAAGGGTCGGTTGATTATAGAATCAGATTGTAAAATGGTAATGGATTGGATTAAGGATGGATCTTGTTGTCCTGTTGTCTATGCCTCCATTGTTAGGGAGGTAGTTGTTAAACTCAAAGAAGTCGAGGGAGTTATTAGAGGGGTGGCTAGGACAGCCAATATTGAGGTTGATGGGTTGGCTAAGTCTGGTATTGGTTAATTTTTCTTTGTTGTTGGGATATATTATTTTGGGTTTTAGGTTGTTTGTAAGGGTTTTATCTTATTATTGTATCTTATGTATCTATATTAATAAAGTTTAAGGCACTCTTTTCCTCCTTCATCCGATTTAGGAATTCAATATGAGTTCCTTAAATCATGAAGGAATTTTTAATGAGGCCTCAATTCCTATAAAAAAAAAGAATAATATAATTCAATATTTACTCTAAATTTATCTCTTGTTTCTTTGTTGTTGGTTTCATAACTTTTTTGTGTTTTTGTCGACTCTCGTGGTGATTTAGATTACCCTAAAAATGCTTGTGATATGCAGAATTTGTTGGTCGTTTGGTGTGATTTTTAACAAAGATATGATGAAGACTTGTTTATGTTTACATTCAGTCAAGAAAAGGTTCGTATAGATAAACCTGTTGAAATTCTAATCCGTAATAATATTATGATAAAATTAACTATGTTTTTTTACCACAATCAGTTACTTTTAACAGCAAATACAAATCCATCCAGTAATTAATCAAAATGAAATATTAAATTTCTAGTCAAAGAAAGTAAGAACATTTCAATCCTAAAATTCTTAGCTGGACCATTCTTATTGGAAGACTGCAACAACTCTTCTTGACCTTTCTCTCCATTGTCCCACACACCAAATCCCACTCCCAGTTCTCAGCGCGTCTCTTGCACAGTGCAACCGGGACAGCTAGAACAAGTCTACGACAAGCCATCAAACCCCCCAAGAAATATACTGAATTGCAAAAAAGGGGGTTGGGGGTTGAAACCAGAGAAAAGAAAAGCAGAAAGAGAAGCAAAACGAGACCCTTTATTTTGGTTTTGGGTGCTTGTGGCAAAGGCATGTTTTTTGGTGGTCGTGCAGTGTGTTTTTTGCCAATAATATTGGTACTATGTTTAACGAGGAACAATTGTATGTTGCCGGTTGCTGAAGCTATATGGTTAACGATTCCAAGTTCAGGAACCAAGTGTATTTCTGAGGAGATCCAAAGCAACGTTGTTGTTTTAGCTGATTACTATGTCATCGATGAAAACAACCCCGATCGTATACCCACCGTCTCTGCTCGGGTATTTCTTTTACCTTTTCATTAACAGCGAACAATTTATCAAATTCTCCGTCTGGGTTTATCAGATTTCTGCCCTTTTTATTTTGCCCAACCACCACAATATAAATTTTATCGCTGGTTTTGATATTTTATTTCAATGGGATGATTTTTTATGTGAGATTTTTGTTGTTGAAGACTTTGCTGGTTTGGATGAACAGTGATTATATTGATAGGCTTTGCTGATTTTTATCCTTTTGTAAGTGTCAAGGATGTTTAGAACATATATTTACAGGGCAAGCCATATCCAAGAATAAACCTTTGCTTAATCTTCCTATTTAATATATTTTTTTTTGCTAAGAATTTGAATCTAATCCCTGATACTTAAGCATCCAGCAACCAATTTGCTTCTGTCTTTTGAAGTTCCATATGAATATCGGCAGAACAAGTTCTTTTCTTCAGTTTGAATGATACGTTTTTTATCCTATATGTACTAAGGTGAGCCATTAATATGGGGATAACATATGTGCCTTGAAGTTCTAGGCCTCCCCTCAAGGGATTTGGTAGGTGTTTCTTGTTGTTTCTTGATAGGAGTGAGTATTGGATCGAATCAAGTTTTACTCACCCCTATTTCTTGATCTGCCAAAGAAATATCCTTTCTTTTTTATGGAAAAGTCTTGAGGGTGGAAAATTGGAATTCTTTGTGCCCTATGGTTGAAGAATCCATTCTAGTTTGAGGAATTGTGAAGTACAACTAATCGGTATCACATTGAGGTTACCTTTTTTGTGTTAGACAATTATCTGTAGCTCAGCATAAACCAAACTAGAGGCCAACTACATGGAATTTTCTTCCTACTATCGTCCTGGTATGTTGAAAATTTTGAGTTAATGAACTACAAGCAATAAGATATCTTTCAAGAAGTTATAACATGAGTACTTAAAAAGAACAATGAAGAGTCTGAGCTGTGTAGCTTGAGATCATTAATTTTGTATATTTGGAAATTTATCTAGAAAATGTAGATTTAACACAGTGGCACGTGTACGGAATATGTGATTTATCCTCAAATTTACTAGACCTTTATCTCATTCTTTAGGTAACATCTCCTTTTGGGAACAATCTTCACCACAATGAAAATGCAACTCACGGTCAGTTTGCATTTACGACCAGTGAGTCAGGCAATTATCTAGCTTGTTTCTGGAAGGATGGCAGCCATAAACAAGATTCTGAACTAACTTTAGGCATTGACTGGAAAACTGGAATTGCTGCCAAAGATTGGGAGTCCGTTGCGAAGAAAGAGAAAATAGAGGTAAGATCCTTGATGCCTTCTCTTGAAATTTTAAATGGGGCTTGATCTCCATAGCCATCCAAATTTCTTACGCATTATATATTACTTTTTGTAGGGTGTTGAACTTGTTCTCAGGAGACTTCAAGGAACAGTGGAAGCTATTCGTGGTAATCTAATCTACCTCAAAGATAGGTACTCTTATCACAACTAAACTGTAGTTCAAGGTGCAAACATCTTAATAGTCACTGTTTACGCTTGAAATAGAAGTCTTAAAGGAGGAATTTATTCAGAACAAGAAACTTGATGCTTAAAGGATCTTTTCATACATTCACAAGGTTTTCCACCTCAAAGTTTTCACTTTTCATAATTATAAATGTGGTCTATTTTGATCTCAAAGTTTTCACTTTTCATAATTATAAATGTGGTCTATTTTGATCTTGGAAGTTTTCCACAAAGAAATACTTGGATTTCCATTAAAATCTCCTTATCAGTTCTCATATTTTCTGTAAAAAGAGGTTAAAAGTAAGAAGTAAAGGAATCGGGAACAGAATGACTAACAAGATAAGTAGAAAACTCGACTTAATATCTTGAAATATTCAATTATTCGAGTCAACAAGTAGAGATATTCTTTGACTTGGGTGTTAAGATGATCAATTTGCTTAGACTGTGTTCATTCCTATTCCTTTGCAGGATCTACTTAGTCACATGTTTCTAAAATAACAGTTGTCTTTCTTTCGTTAATGTGTACAGAGAAGCAGATATGAGAGAAGTAAGTGAAATTACAAATGCAAGAGTGGCATGGTTCAGTATCATGTCCCTTGGGGTCTGCATCACGGTTTCGGTTTTGCAGATATGGTACTTGAAGCGCTACTTTGTAAAGAAGAAGCTCATCTAGATTATATGCACAAATAGTTTTGTGAAACAAAAGTTAAACCGTCCTGAAAAAATGAAAGGAATTCACTAATTTCTTGCTGTTCCATAGAGACTGACTATCATTTCCTGCTGATTTGAGAATGAAGATGTGGTTTGTTGTTCAATGCTCACGTCAAGGTTTTTTCTTTTTCCTTCTCATAAATATAGATATGCGCTCACAGTATTACCGTCTCTATGATCACCTTCTCCAGCCGAAACAAACAACAATATACTACTCTCCGGTTACGCCATTCTAGAAGATGTCGATGTCATCAAAATGCTATAAAATACCATAGAAAATAGCTCAACTGAAGATTATCTATCGCTACAAAACGTGATACCTATTACCTACAAGTATACAAACAAAATATATGTATTCCTAGGTTCTCCAGCCAATTTTCTTCTTCCAAAATATTTAAGTATCAAGCAGTAAGCAATAAAAACCATGCATAACCGTCTCTCGCAATTGATTCAACTTCATCATGATTAAGTTGTTCAGATTTAGAAGATGAATGAGAAAAAGCATATCATCTTCCACATCTTTCATCTGGTAACAATGTGGGGCTATTTCGACCAACTATTCCGGTTTCAGCTCAGTTACTTGCAATTGAACTCCAGTGGTATTGGCATTAGCCATGAACACTTACCAAGAAACGACTTGATACAGAATTTATAATCCAAAGAGAAAATAAAAAAATACTTACATTTCTCATATATTACCAAATACCAGTAGTGTTTGGAAGAAGGGAGCGGCTGCAACAATCGACCAACGCCATATACCAAGGCGAAGTAATCAAATACTAAGCTTAATGGATGAGGGGATAGACCAGAAAGTAGAGTTGATAGTCCATATAAAATACGCCTCCAAGTCTCAAATATCTGCAGAAAGCTTGTCGTATTAATGTATTCATGTAACACCTTTTGTAGACCAATTGTATGTATTAATGTAGATGACATTGGCTAACATGAATATAGTACAAGATCAAAATCATACAGTTTTCTTCCTTGTCATTCATTTTCATATAATGAAACATGAAATGACAGTACCTTCCTAAGAGTATAAAAAGATTCGATATATTTGCAAACAATGGATGCATTAGAAGACCTCTAAGACCCAAGTATAGAAACACCACATATTGCAATAGTCATTCCCTGCTACACCCCGAATCAAGGGTTGAAAGCTTCTTCGAAATTTATTCTGTTAATTAGAGGATCAATTTGATTTTTTGAGGACCTAAATGTCCAAAATCCAAAATTTGGGGACCTAATTGAAGTGAAATAAAAATTTAGAGGACTAATTTGGAGACCATTTTGAACATAAAATAAAGTTAGAAACCCATTTCGTGAATCTTAGAAAGTTAGTGTATAACTTTTCATCATAATGAAGTAAAAAATCTTATGAATAGGGATGGCAAACGGGTATAGTTTCTTAGATTTCGCACCGTATCCGCTCCAATTGGAGCGGGGATGGGTATAATTTTAGCGGGTAGTGGGCGGATGTGGATTTATAAAGTGGTACCTGTCGTGGGTGGTGGGCGGGTAATGGGTTTGAGACATTACCTACCCCGCATCCACCCGCCCCGCATCCGCCTGCCCCACATCCGCCCGCCCAGCCAAATATCTATTAAATTTTGGAGCATTATGAATTTAGGTGTAATTTTAGAGACTAATTTATAAATTTTAATATTGTATAATATATAACATATAATTTAACCAAATATTAATTTTAATCTGGTCTTTAATTAGGGAAATATTCGGCTCTTTGATTAAATCCATAATCCCACTAACCACATCACTTTCCATGTTCTTTAGCCCATGCTGCCCATCTAAACACAAATTAGCCGTACTATATGCATTAACATCAAAAGCAGCAGTTTCCATGTTCTTTAGCCCCTCAAAACCCATATTAGGCGCACTATGAGCATTAACATCGAAAACAACTCAACAATCCAACTCTGCGACTACATGCTCCCTACAATCTGTCTCCATAACATTCATAGAGCCACTTCTCTGACAAATTGAAGCATGTGTTTGCTGTCAGGCGGGTCTAGATGGGTATGTCGCTAGTGGGTAGTGAGTGTGGGGATGGATTTGAAAATGTACCCGCGTGGGCGTGTGTGGATTTGAAAATTTGTACCCATCATGGGTGGTGGGCGGGTGGTGGATTGAAAAATATTAGGTGGGTATGGGGATGGGGGAGGGGGTATCCGCACCCGACCCGCTTGTTTGCCATCTCTACTTATGAACCATTACTTTCGAATATTTACATTCGTAAAGATCCACGGTCTGAACCATAAAAAAACCATCATTGTCACCCTTCTTACCAAACCCTAACCCTAATATGCTAAAGCAAACCAGAACCCCAAGCCAATCCCAAAGGTTTATCCCACCAGCATGACCCAAATCCCAAGCCTATTGTTGAGGCCCAAACACTATAGCACTAATAGACCCAATACCCAAACCTACAAAGGCCCAAAGCTTCCTAACAGAATACGACCCATATAATTTTTAAAATGTACTCGATCCATATTTACTTTGATCCATTGGTCATACCCGTTGACTTTATTGATTGATCGATCCGGCCTGTTAATTGACTCGGGTCTTTGAATAACTTGAACTGTAGATTGACATGACATGTTGATTGACCTGATAAGTTAATGAGAATAATTGAAATTGATCTCTGACTTTGATTAAATTGTTGACTTTCATTGATTAATTTATCCTTTCTGACCAATTTAATGATTTTTACTTAAATCTAAAATCTACTAATTTAATATATTTTTCTTACTATTATTATTCTGATTAATTAATAATAAAATTATATAGATAACGTTTTTTTTTTGTGATTTTTCAATTTGTTAATAAAAAAAATATAATGTATTTTTTTTATTTTGCCACTTTTGCTTCATTTTGCACACTTTAACATCTAGAAAGTGAGAAAAAGAAAAAGAAATACATAAATCATGGTTCTTTAATGTCGTACTCATTCCATTTCTACAACTTTTGACTGACCCATTGTTTCAAAGCCCTCAAGCTGTTGAATTTCTGCTTTTCTGTTCACCTGAAAAGTTTGAGAATTGAGGACAAACTGGACTTGTGCATCACACAGTGTATATTCTAAACAGTATCTTGATCTAGTGGGGCTGATTTCCATGCACCAAAAAGGAAAAAAAAAACGATAAGGATTGTAATACATGTAGAGGTCCAGCTACCCGAAGCTGTCATTGGTGATTGAATGACTGGCAGTGGAGAACTCACATTTGTGTAAGGTTGACATGTCTTCACTTTTGATTTTTTTTTATATAGTTATTTATTTTTGTAATTGCGATCATCTTAAAAATTTATATATGTTCACTCACATATAAAAAAATTATGTTAATAATATATGTATCCATATTAAAATATATTTTAAATCCGCCACTAATGACTAATATTGTCGTTATATATGATTTGATGTAAAACAATATTCACAAGAAAGATTACAGATGTCGAACTTCGATTCAAGTTTATTAAACATCATCTTTAATAGTTATATAAGATAATTGAGTGAAACTTCAAGTCTGTTAAATATCATTTTTGTTATCTCCAGATTCCGTTTGGGAAGTTCCATCGTCGATGAAGGAGCTGGAGGCTACTTTCTCACCGGTTGTTAATGAAGCAGTGACCAAGGTGTTTTCGGCTAATGATACTAACTGCAGCGATAAGGTAGGCTCTTCATTGTTGGAGATGAATTGACAAATTGTGGTAACCGTCAAAGTAATATTATAGTTTGTCAGAGATGTAAGGATTAATTTATCTTTTGTCTGGTAGTATGACAGCCGGTGAGATATTGAGTGAGAATCAATTATATTGGTTACATTCTTATGGAAGCTTTGTTGTATGTCGGGTAGTAACTCGTTGTCTTTCTAGTTGAGTGGTTGTCTTAGGTTTTAGGGATGTAGTTTTGATTTTCGTTGTCTTTTGCTTGGTACTTTCTTAGAATAGTTAGATATTTTGATCCGGTTGTAATGTTCTATCAAGCCCTGATTCAGAGTTGTTCAGCAGAACGGTAAGGGGTGTTAATAGATGTTACAACAAAGGAAAATTTGGAGTTGTTTTTTTAATAATATATTTAAAAAAATTATAATACGTGAAAAATAATTGAATACAACACTGATGTACTAATTACCGAATTTAACAACATCTTTAAAACAATTATAAATACATGAAAAATAAATGAATACAGCACTGATGTGCTGATTACCAAATCGAATAATATGTCGCACGGTATCTTCTATTATTTTATTCTAAAAGAAGCCAACTGATAAAGTAGTTTTTTTTTATATAAATATAGCCTTTTGTTTCTACAAACAGGACAAAATAATTTCTGTTTTAAATCCAATTAAATTATACGTTTGGTATCTAAATTATTATTTTTGTGTCATTTTAATACACAAATTTCATTTTTTTTTCCAAAATCATATTTAACATTTATTTTAGGTTTCAATTCGGTACTCGTCGTTAAAAATTTAATAGAATTGTTAATGTGACCTTTTTTTTTTTTTTTAGATGAAGATGTGACACTACCATATGGTAACACTTCAACATCATCATTAAGTTTTTAATAGTGGATATTAAAACGAAACTTAAACTAAACGCTATATATGGTTTTTTATAAAAATAAAATTTAGGTACCAAAACGAAATAAAAGTATTGATTTAAATACTATACATGTAGTTTACCCTAAATCGATTTGCATATGAATCATAAGCAATTCAAAAAGCTATTGGGGTCATCTCCAATCCCACCATAATGTTTTATTTATTAAATACTAAATTGTACAAGTATACAAAATTTAAATATAATTAATGTCATATACCTTTTGCACTATGAATTCAATGATTACTTTATCATCAATGTTATTTCTGTGCCACTAGTTGTTTAAGATATCTTTCAATCTTTTAAAGATTCACTTTATTTCATCATTAAAAAAAATAAACAATTCAACGTTTAAAATTTGCATGAAAATATGTATATATTATTTGACTACCAAGACCATTCATTTTCCAAGGTGTTAACTTATTCATCCCTTTAATCATACACTCCAAACCATGTAGTCCAAGCTACTTTTTCACACAAGTTTTCC